CTAAGTTCAACTCCCTTACAGCTGTTGGAAGTAGAAGAAAAATGCTGGTCTGAAGGCACTTTGACCTGTACATCTTAGAAATTGCAGGTTACAACTTTTTTGGCCTTTTTAAAATATTTTTTTATTTCAAATGTAAGTATTTTTGGGAGACTTAATTCCAATGCAATGTCACTTTTGTCCCTTGATCACTACCATGAATAGGCAAGAAAAGTAGTCAAATGTATTTAATTGAAGAATATTCTCTCTGTGCATGTATAAGGAGGTCCTCACACTGTTCCACATTGCAGCTGGAAGGAAAAAAAAAAATTTAAAAAAAAAAGGGGGAGTAGAGGCAGCTATTTTCAGGACATGTCTTGGGCACCACCTACTCTGTAACTCTAGCTTTTTAAAACCTGGTTAAGATGAAGTGCCTTACTACAGCTTTCTCCACCTTGGTTTCAGTTATTCACTTCAGTTCTGTCTAATGGCTTGGAGTTTACCCTAACAAGCAGTTAACATATATATTCCATTGAGATTTTCAATTAGTTCTTTTTTTTTTTTTTTTTGTCTTACTGAAATCATTAGTGCATTGAAAATAAATTTAAGTAAATATACTTTTCTCATTTTAGTTCAGATGATTCATTGTTGTTTAGCCATTAACATTTTTGCTTTGAGTTTGAGAAGAATTGCCTGTGGTTTTGGTTTTTGGTTTTTTCCCCAAAATATCCTGGTAGCACCTGAACATCCTATGTTGCATAAGTAATTTCTACAGGATACTGTTACAATAGTGTTACAATATACTGGCAACAAACCAAAAAGACCTGTGGTTGTATTAAGTTTCTTGCAATGAGCTGTTAAATAAAAAGCCCTTAAAAACTGGTATCCTGACCATTTGTTACAAATTTTCAAGACATGATTTACCTGTATATTTGCTGATGTCAGTTAAGCCCGCATTTCTGCAGACCAGGAGGGTAAATTCACGTACATACATGTTACCAATTCTGCATGCTTTCCCTGACTTGAATATGCCACCTAGGCAGGTTTGTACATGCAAATGCACTGTGTTACCACCTCCAAATCCAATATGAAAGACGAGACATAGAAGGTAGCCAGTTTAAATATAAAAAGTAAGGTTTGAAAACAATGGAGCATTTTTTTAGCTATGCTGTCTTTAGTGATTCTGTCTTTAATTTGTACATACATACATACATGTACATATTGATTTAAAGAAATTGCTGGGTATTAGCATCTGGTTATAATAAGTATACTTTTTAGACAAAATATTTAGAAAAAATTTGAGGTCTTTTAAAACTGGTGTTAAATGGAAATGTCAGTCTTTTACTTGTATTTTTCTTTATGTGACTTTTTTGTCTATAAGAGTCTGATCTACTAATGAGTAACATAGTTTATAACAGGTCATAGATATATTAACATCACTGTAAGCAGTAGTGCAAAGCACATTTCTCTGAGTACAAAGGCTATTTGATTGAAATGTATGGCTTTAAAGACAAAAAAAGTATTTATTTCATTGAATCATAGAATGGTTTGGGTTGGAAGGGATCTTAAAGATCATCTAGTTCAACCGCCCTGCCATGGGCAAGGACACCTTCCACTAGCCCAGGTTGCTCAAAGCCTCATCCAGCCTGGCCTTGAACACCTCCAGGGATGGGGCATCCACAGCTTCCCTGTGCAACCTGTTCCAGTGTCTCACTGCAAAATGATACAAGGCTTATTTTGTTGTTTAAGCTCTATGGATGCTTACTGCCATGATGCCAAATGGAGGGCACTCTTATGTCTGTGTGATTCCTCTTCTATGTATGTCTATTCTTCCCTCAACTAATGGTAGACTTACAGAGAAATATTAGCAATGGCATCTATAGCACCAAGGTACACCATGATAAATGGATCACAGAATCATAGGATGGCCTGGGTTGAAAAGGACCATAAAGATCATCTATTTTTACCCCCCCTGTTGTGGGCGGGGTTGCCAACCACTAGAGCAGGCTGCCCAGGGCCCCATCCAGCCTGGCCTTGAATGCCTCCAGGGATGGGGCATCCGCAGCTTCTCTGGGCAACCTGTGCCAGTGCCTTATCACCCTCTGAGTGAAAAATTTCCTCCTAATATCCAACCTGAATCTCCCCTCTCTTGGTTTAAAACCGTTCCCTCTCGTCCTATCACTGTCCTCTACTGTTTAACATTTGATTTTTAAAAAATTGAAGGCTTTAAAATAGTATTTGCTTAGCCCTCTGTTTTATTTAAAAGCTTGAGATACCATCATCCACAGTGACTCTAGTATTCTGATCACGTCAAAGTTCCTTTTTACTGTGTTTTGCTCTAGTAGCCAGGAGGATGATCCCTAATACAGGATTATTTACATAATGTTTGTTGCAATGACAGATAAGATACAAGAAAAAAAAAATCCGTCTTTTCATTTTAAAGTATTGCCTTTTATTATTTACCTATAGTACAGTGAAGAGAGAACAGCACAAACTGTACCAGGGAAGCAGAAAAGTACACAGCATAATTCCAAAACAAATGTAGTTGATTAAATGCAGTACATTAAAACCAGACATCATGGTTGACATTTTAGTGTTGTAATGAAGGGCCCAGCTATTGATCTTTGCCTGGGCAACTGTCTATTGAATCCACTGGACTTTAATTCAGAAAAAGTGTAGCCTAATGAATTTCAAGTAATAATTGCTGTACCAGGTAATTGCAGAATGTGCATAGCAAAGCTCCTCTGAGAGGAATTTGAGATTTCTACATCAATCTGAATGTTCAAAGGCTTGCAATTCAGCATGATGTGAGTTACAAGCTTCATTTGAATAGAGGAGGAAAATAATACATTTTGTTTAACCTCTGCAGCTTCAGAATTCCAAAATTATAGGGCTCTATGAATAGATCAGAACAGTAAGCACTTAGAAATTTTCCTAAGTTATCTCATTATGTGAAGCAACATAGCTCTCTCTGTGAGGGGAGCTACTAGTTAGAGTGGTCACACAGAAAAAATAAATTCATGTAATAAAAATACTGGATCATTTCATGAAAATTATTATTATTTAATTCTAGTTACTGAGCCCATTTGTTCCTTTCTCCTGACTCCTTGATGTGCACCCTGAATGAAGCGACTGTGGGATATGAATGGGCAGCCAGGGAAACCTGTCTTTCCCTTAATGTCTCTCTTCTGGAGCTGCTTCTTGATGGACTTGGGTGTTGGGACTTGTCAGAGACTGGAACCTGGACCATATGAACTATCAGAATTCCTACATTCCTTCATTTCTCCTAAGCAGGAGACATTGACTTGTTCCTGTCCACCAGCTCTGTGACACTACTCCTCTGTTGGAGGGTGCCAACAGCTCGCCATCAGAGCCAGCACTGTAGTTCACATGAGCTCTTCCTATTCTGCTCCAGGCAAAAATCAGCCAGGTTAGTGTACATAATGTGAACCCTGGTCTGAACTAATGGAGGTGGTTTTGCCTGAAAGAGGTTAGGGAGTGTTCAGGTGTACTGCTCTGACATCTGTGCTCTGAGGCTACAGCATCTAGCACGATGAGCCACTTGAGTACCTTCTGCCATCACAACCAGATTCAGAAAAGAGGTCTGCAACTTTGCGCTTTTATAATCAGTGAAGCAGGCTTCATCATCATGAGTTACTGATTTTCAGGGTTTAGTTACAGCTGGAAAAGTTTAAAACAGCTTCTCATTATGATGAGTGCTTTAAAAATAATATTTAGATTTTTATTATTTACAAACAAGATCATTTACATTTTTAAGGTACTACTCTATTTGCATTAGCATTACTTTACTACGAGATCTTTCTGATTCAAGTCAAGACGCTGATACTGTTGGTTCCTCTCCATATTGAGTACTCCTCATTAACTCAAAATCTTTACTGAATACATTTAAATGAGGAAAGAAATAAAAAATCATTACATTGAGTACATTAAGTACTCCTCATTAACTCAAAATCTTCACTGAATACATTTAAATGAGGAAAGATATAAAAAATCCTAATTTAAATGAGGTGAGAGTTCTCATTGACTTCTGTGGACCAAGATTTGAATCCAGAATTAAGCTGATGATCACAAATTTGAAAAATTTTGTTGAAAGAATGCAGCAATGCCCTGCAACTTTATCTTTAATTTTTTTAATAAAATATTTATGGACAGCAAACTATGGAAATAAATTTTAAAAACTGTATTTGGAGCATCTCAGGTTTGAAGGTGAAAAATCTCGTGTGCCACAGTTTAAGAACTGACTTCCACAAACCTGTGCCTATGTACCAAATATGTGCATTTAAGTACTAAAATTTCTATTTCTATTTGGTATTTGATCAAAACTGTTTTCCCTTTCCCCACTGTTCTTTCAGTGAACAGGTACCAGGGCAAAGACATTGAATATTTTTGCAACAAGGGAATATGAGACAGCAAAGCAGCTTGTAGTTCTGCAACATTGATCCTTGATATTGCTGGTATAAGCCACATTTTTAATAATACCAGTATGAGCTGTACATAACATCATGTGAATGTTCATTGAACAGAACATAAAATCTTCTGTTGCATTACTGTGGAAAGTAAGAATAAAGCCAAGAGGTAAAGAATCCAGAGATGCATCCTTATCCTGAGTCCAGAGAAAAGGATTTCCACATTTGCTTTTGCATGTGAGATTAATGCCAGCCTGTGACTAATGGGAATCAATAACACGAGTCAATATTGTACTAAGAAAGCATGTTGGGTATTTTTTAATTTCTTCTTTTGAAAGCCTCTGTATTTTTCTTGCCCGTTAATATTAAGAAAGATAATGCATCTACTTGAAATTTTACCAAGTCATCATACTAGGATGCAGCTCAGTACAGTACCCTCAACAGTAATTCTTCTTACACTGTATCTGTTTCCCTTTCTAGTAATTTCAAAGTCATTAAACTATAACTACACCGATTTTTATGAAATTCAGATACTGAGGAGGGTTTTTGCATAACTAAAAAGAAAAATTTAATTCCTACTTCCCTGCAAATACACAGGGCCTGTTGGGAGAGAAGTATGGGAACATCCGAATACCGGGGGAAGTTGAGTCAGCAGAATTTGAAATGATCCTGGATGCTGCTGTAGAGGCCAAGCTAGAGACAAGGATTTTAGAAGAGTGGTACTGCAGGGATGAGAATGCAGTGCCACCAGCGTATTACCTCAGACCAAAATCTGAAATGCTGAAGAACTACCAGAATACGGTAGGTCATAGTCACCTCCTTACAAAATTCTTCTCTATCAATGGCAGTGGTGGGCAGTCTCCAGGGCCAGGCACCTGCTGCTGTCTCTGAATTAGCTTCTACAGCCTGAGCAACTGGTGCTGTGGTGGTCCTTTCCTATATGTGGTGAAGGGAGCAGCTGCAAAACACCAGGGAACACAACAGGTCACTACTCCTGCGTTGATGCGCTTTGGTAACAGCTAGAGCAAGTGGATTGTAGTAATTCATGACCTGTTGGGGCTAGTGGGACAGTTGTGCAGATTTTTCTTCACTTCCCTGATGTTGGGATAGTGAGAGCTCTCTCTTTAACAGTCAGACAAGTGCTTAGTGCTGTCCCAAGTCAGATATCGTACTTTTAACTTATTAACTGTATTCTAACAGAAGATTTTTGAACACTGATAATTATCATTTTTAAAACAAGCATTTGTCTTTAATTGATGACAATAAAAACTGTATACTACCCAGGGCTCAGTTCTACCTTCATGCACATCCTATATACCCAAGGACTGATCTCAGTGTACGAAAAATTAAGTCCTCAACAAAGTATTCACTTCATTTTCAGTGCATACTGTATTATACAAGAAAATGAAATGAAACCATTATACGGCATTCACTTACTGTGTAGCAGGATGTTTCCTCTGTTGCATGAAAAAACACTGAAAACATGTAAAACAGACATGGGAAGAGTTTTTATGAGTTGAAGACTGTATAATGTGGCCAAGCAAGTTTTGTAACTTTGCATTGTTTTGCTGATACCCACAATATCCCTTTGATTAAAGCTTGTTTTTTTTGTTATTAAAACTTTGTACCTTTGCTCAAGCTGCTGATACACAGGAGTAAGTAAAAAGATGTTCATAACTCAAAGCTAACATAAAGTATACATCTCATAAACTTACAGAAAGTAATAAAAGATTCACAGCTTTGAACGTGTCAAGAGTTGCTAGGGGGTTTATCCTGGAGGCTGTTCTTTTTCCTGTTACACCCTCCAGGAAAACTGGAGACTCCTTAAACTCTTCACTTGCAGTAAGTAATGCAGCAGCGACTACCACCTGCTTTAGAGAAATCTCCATCAAGGCATCTGCGAGATACCATCTGAAAGGATTTGTGAATTTATGTATTAGAGTCCCTCTCTGATGACAGTAAGATTACTGTTACTATAGCAATGAGTGAACGAAAGTAATGTCACATATAATCCTGTACTTTTCAAATATGGTAGCTGATATGAGGTACTTAATTACAGGTACCAGGAACCTAATTTTCAATTTTGAGATCCAAGTTTAAATTATTATTATTATTACTTCTCATTAATGAAGCGATAATTTTAGCAGTATTACTGCTGCTGTGTGATAATTATTTCTGGCTTGGTTCTCAAAACCATCTTTCTATAAAGGTGTTATTGGTCTTATTCTTCAAATTGAATTAGCTGCCTACAGTAAGAATTCAGAAATTACTCCAAATAGCTGACTTTTATAATTCCAAAATGGAATACATCATGATTATCTGCAGTATAAGAAGTTGAACTTTCATTTATTTATTTTTAGTGTATGTGTTTGTTACCATGTTACTTATGGCCTTGAATATTAGACTTATATTTTCTGAAGTTGTAGGTGCATGTATTACAGCTACTGTTTAACTATGGATATTTTTAAAAGATGGAATCTTCTTCAAACTCTATGAATGAGAACAAATGGCAAGATATATCAGAAGAAATTAAGAAGATTTTTAAGACTGCAGTGAAATTGCTGTATGAGAAAGGAAAAATGAAACACAGCCAAGCAAAGAGATATCTTTCCTCTGGTAAAGTTCAGACTAACTATTTCTATATATTAATTTATTATCTTTTCTGTCAACCTTTCCACAAACATGAAAATATATTTCTGTCGGCATTTCTCAGATAATTGAAGAGAAAAAAAATGTTCATTGTGTTTGCTTGAGAACAAAACCCATTTGAAAGCACCCAGCAATTTTTCAGTGCTTTTACTGTTTATAAAGAAAAGATAACAGAGACTCTGTGTTCTCTTTTCATCCTCAGCTATTGAAGATGAACTTGATTTTGCCTTGGGTAAACAAACACCAGCTTTCCTAAAGAAGTGCGTTTGCTACATCCGGAAAATTGCCAACATTGAGCGTTTCGTTAAAATTCCAGAGATGGGGAAATACACGGATGTGGTGCATACAGCCGGGAAGTTTCTACGAGATCCCGAAGCCCATGAGAAACTGATCAAGCTCAGGGATGAATTCATTCCTACCATTGTTGCATCATCCAATCTGAGAGTGTACACGTCCGTCACTCACTGTGACATGAAGCTGGGCTACTCCCAAGATGTGGAGAACCATTACATCGAAGGACTTGGTAAACAGTTCTATGAAGACATGATTGATATAATCCAAGCAACAGTGCAGCAGAATTTTGACACTGAGACAGACTTGCTGTACGATGAAGTTCTGCAACACTCATCGCTATGTAAAACATACTCCACTTTTTATGAATATAGATGTGAGGCATTAAACATTGTTCATAAGTACGTTCTGCCTAGCAAAATAGGACACATTAACCCTCTTATCATATACGGAGGACCATGCACAGGGAAGACTCTTTTATTAGCTGAAGCAGCGAAGAAGGTAAATAAATGCTTTACATAATATGGTGATGTTAGGAGCATTAGTGCATAAGGGCCAACTTAGTTTTCATCCTTCCTTTTGTCAACAGATCTGATATTAGCCCTCAATATATAAAATAAAAATAAAAATAAATTATATTCTGCATATTATTGTACACTGATTCAGAAGAAGACCTGCCTTCCACTAATAACCTGTCTGTATCATGTGCTTAGCTAAAACAAAAATACTTTATCAGAGCTCTTAAAAACCTAATAGGAATCAATATACTTATGAATTAACAGCATGTATTTTATAAGGATCTCTTTCCC